CAAGGAGGAGCACGTAGTAATGCCGACCACTAGATAAGTACTAGTGGCTAAGAGAAAGCAAAGCAACACCTAGTCTTGTATAGGTTGGGCGAAGCTTGAAGAAGCGATTACGGTATCTAGGGAGTGAGGATGGTTGATGTATGCAGTTTTATCTCCACATACGAAGAGTATTTTTTTGACCCAAACCCATGACGCTTAAGTCACAATAAAGTAACCTTGTGCCAAGACCATCCTCACTCAAGCAAACATCTACATCAAACAATTAATATAGTTTTGAATTAGATCAAAGTAGATGACAATTAGGGGGAAGAAAAAAAAAGGAAAATGAAGCACATATCTAGGGTCCAAATGAGTAGACACATTTATAATATGGTCTACGGAATGTCAAATCAGATTTTCCAACCTTGATAGTGCAAAGAATTCAGATAAACACCTTCTGGCCAAACCTGAATTTTCAAACTTCTGCAAAGTATTCTCTACCATGGAGAGAAGTGTATAGAGACTGGAAAGAAGTGTATAGAGACATGACAAAGCTTCAAACCACAGTAGTAAGAATATAAAAGGGATATGTTCATGCGAGAGTAGTTGGCATAAACTTCTGCCAGTGACATATAAATTTTGTTTGACCTGTAGCAGTATATAAATCACTTGTTAAACAATGCAAGGTGTGGAAGCTACTTAAGTTCAGAAATGGCTTGATATAAATATTTTGTGGCTGACCATAAAGATGAATGTCTACTAGTCATCTTTGCCACATTTCCCTTCTTCTCTTAAGAGCCGCAAGAACCAATAAGCAGAAGATTTTAGGTGCCGCGAAAGCCCATTATTGTAGTCCACATAAATCAAACCAAAACGCTTGGTATAACCTAGCTGCCATTCAAAGTTGTCCATTAATGACCATGCAAAGTAACCCCTCACATCAGTTCCATCCCTGTTCATGGATTCCATAAGAAAAACTTTAGTCATTTTTTGATGTATTTGCATTCAATTTCCAACTATTTCTCTAACAAAGTCTATACACAAGTCTATAAATGAACAATCAAACAAGCAGACATTCATGCCCACACATACAGACAAAGAAAAACCATTGAAGCACACATCTGAGCTATATTGGCCAAGAGAATCAACCAATTTACCTTCATCTCATCATGAACTTATACAGTGCTAAGGCAGCAAGAAGAGACCTAAGAATTGGTCACACCATAAACTTCTAAGAATTAATAATTTGCTTAAACAATAGTACAATGATCTTTACCCTTATCCACTCTTTTTATGAGAGCTATCAGATTTTGAACCCTTTTTCTCTTTTATTTTTATTTTTCACATTTTTTGGTGGAGATGTTCCAAAGGATCTTAGGGAAGCACTAGTCCAATTTTTTCCATCTATCTCTACCTGATGCATAGATGGGTGTATTTTTAAGTGACATATTATAACAAGTCTTGTCCAACTTACTCACCAAAAAAAAAGGTTATGTCCTGCATGCAGCTTAGATTCTTTCACGATGATATAAGCCCATCTAAGTGCATCACTAACCAGTCATCAATAACAACACAAGGCACCAATACGGGGAAGGATTTGTAAACTATTTTATTATAGTGATCCAACAATTTGGGTTAAGACAAAATTTGATAGCATCCTTATTCAGTTATTGTGATATTGTTGAGGAGTTCAAAATAGACAAACAAAAGAAGCAAATATGAATGTTGATGCATGTTGAGGACCTCAGAGAAGCATATGTGGATGTTGATGCATCAATCATACAGGCATTCAAAATCAAAGAAATAAACATGAACTTTGATGCATATAAACTTAAGACAGGCATAAAAATCTTGGACTACCCCTCAACTCCAACAGAAATAAGGACATATGAAACATGCACCCTCAACAAAATGGTATGAAGTGAGATAACCCACTTAATTGCCTGGGCAACAGCAGCAAGGTATCCCTTAAAGTAACTGACTCTTTTTTTGTCATCTAGCATCTCGGAGATTGAGGAACTCCCTTTGTCTTCGTCATCCATACCTGTAGCCGGAAGACAATAGGGTTTAAAGCAATGAATAATACTTATTTGATATAACTAAATGACTATAATTACTTTTTTGAGGATAAGCAAACATATGCAGGAAGTTATTTTCTGACCATTAACAATCTATCTTATTAACCAACTTTTACTAGTTGATCATACTTCACTCATATTGTAGTTTCTTCCCGTTTCAAAAGATGCGGATTGTTTCTTTCGGTCAAATGATTATATGCGTTTATTTTTTATAAAAAAAATCTAGTAAAGTTGCCAAAAAGGGAAGCTTAAATTTACTATAAGCATTAATTTAAGAGAATATCATACTATTTACCAAGCTTCTAGTCTCACTTTTAGGCCCCTCTCCCTCATTATTGGGAAAAAAAATTCATTACACTTGCTGGTCCCACCACAGCAGAGACTAGGGGAGGTAGCTAAGATATATGCATAACAGTTAAATTATGAAAGATAGAGAAGAAACAAGTAGAGAGAAAGATAATACATTTATGACAATAGTGAGAGCTAATGAAAGAATTGGGTTATCTCCCTTAGCCTCATTTGTTTATAATAATAAGACTCAAAGTAATAAATACCCCTCACAGAGATCTTTTAACACTCTCCCTTAAGTTGAAGTATATATATCTCTCATGTCCAACTTACAAACAATAAGATGAGAAACCTTACTACTAAGTCCTTTAGTAAAAAAATATGTTAACTGATCTCTTGATCTCACAAATGGCATACTGATAACCCCCCTTTATTTAGTTTCTCTTTGATGAAATGTTTGTCGATCTCAATATGTTTGGTTCTATCATACTGACCTAGATTATATGCAATATCAATAGCAACCGTGTTGTCACACAATTCATATGCCCCTCAACAAAAATTCCTAGATCTCACATCAAACACTGAAGCCACACAAGCTCACCACAGCTTCATATTTTGCTTTAGCACTGGATCCAGCCACCACGGATTATTTTTTTACTACGCCATGTAACCAAATTCCCTCCTATAAAAGTACAGTATCTAGAGGTAGATCTCCTATCAATAACTGACCATGCCCAATCAATATCCAGTGATGCCTCCAACCTTAAGTGACCATGTTTAGAGAACAACATGCCTTTTCCTGGAGCGAATTTAAGATCCCCCTAAATTTAGTAAGCATCATCTAGATGCACTATACGAGGGTCATGCATACACTGACTAACAACTCCCACTACATAAGAAATATTTGGTCGAGTATGAACTAGGTATATCAATCTCCCTACAAGTTGTTGGTACCTTTCTTTATCCACATGGTCACCAATGCCACTACTCAGCTTATGATTAATCTCAATTGGTGTGTCTATAGGTCTACATCCCAACATGTCAATCTCCTCAAGTAGATCAATAACATACTTCCTTTGAGATATATAGATGCTCTTATCGGATCTACCAACCTTAATCCCTAAAAAATACTTCAATGAACGTAAATCTTTGATCTCAAATTGTTTTGCCAAGCGTAATTTCAAGTGAGACATCTCCTTCACATCATTGCCCATAACCACTATGTCATACACAAGCAATAAGAATAGTAATCTTATCACCGCTATGTTAACAAACATAGTGTGATTTGCATTACTTTGTTTGTATCCAAACCCCATCATTGCTTTGAACCAAGGTCTAGAAGACTGTTTCAAGCCATAAAATACTTTCCTTAACTTACAAACTTTTCCAATAATAGAATAAGAAGAAAACCCAATGAAATGTCCATATAAACCTCTTCCTCCAAGTCCCTATGAAGTAATGCATTCTTCAGATCTAGTTACTATAAGGACCAACCCAGATTAGCAACACAAGACAGAAGAGTGCAAATAGAATTCATCTTTGCAATGAGGGCAAAGGTCTCCTGATAATAAATGTCATAAGCTTGAGTAAAACCTTTGTGAACCAATCTTGTTTTATATCTTTCAATTGCTCCATCTGTTTTCTGTTTAACAATAAAAACTCACTTACAACCTACAGATCTCTTCCTAACTGGAAGTGAAGTTAATTCTCAATTGTCAATCTTGCTTAGAGATTTCATTTTCTCTACCATATCTTTCTTTCCACTTGGGGTATGCAAGAGGTTCCTTCCAACCCTGTGGAACAAACACAAAAGACAAAGACGAAACAAAGGCAACATACAAAGAAAACAAAAAGTTACAAGAAATAAAAATAGAAATGGGGTGTTGAGTGCAAGATTTCACACCCTTTCTGAGAGCAATAGGAAGAGAAGAATCATCGGCTTCTAACCACAGGAGATGGAGACTTATCTTTTGAAGCTTCTGTGGAAGAATCTGATACTAGAATTAGGGATAATACTGGGCTTGGTAGCATATTGGCAGTCTACTCTGTTGGACACCTAGAATAGGTCTTCTAATTAGGTCGATCCAACCATCCACTAGTATTATGTTCTTCAGTACACTTATCTTTCTCTACCTCACCACAAATAATCTCTCTCAACAGATGGAGAAAAAATGAGAGTTCCTCGTGTGGATCATATATTAATCCCTCTTCCACATTACCGGTCTCCCCCTAGATAAAAGACTGAGACAAACCAAAGTATGGTTTGGACTCCCAAAATGTGACATCCGCGCTAACATATTCCTTGTGTGACTGTGGATCATAACATCTATAACCTTTCTAAGTAGGAGAGTATCCAACAATGACACATTGCACAACCTTGGGGTCAAATTTGCCTTGAGAATGAGGAGAGACCTGAAAAAAACAAGCACACCCAAATACGTTGGGAGAAAAGGAAGAAGAGAGAGACTTGGAAAGAAGTTCAAGAGGACCTTTAAACTGAGGAACACAAGAGCGCCTGTGATTAATAAGATATGCAACAATAAAACTAGCATCCCCCCAAAAGTTGTGGGAACATTCATAATGAACATAAGACCACGGTAGTTTCGAAAAGATAACGATTTGTGCATATACTCGAAATTCACTATCAATGTATTTGGTTCAGTTATCACACCACCACCTTATGAAAAGTTGTAACGCAAGAAAAGACTTCACTCTAGTTTCAAGTAAATACACCCAAGTGACAAGAGAACAACAATCAATTAATGTAATAAACCAACGATAATCAGAACAAGACACCCCACACATCAGAATAAATAAGCACAAAAGGAAAATCACTTTTTTTATTAATTAAAGGATAACATGAACGTTTATACTTTGCAAACTCGTAAACATTTCAAATAAAACTACTTCCAAGACATGATTTAGCTAAAGTAGGAAAAAATTTCGCTAGATCACCAAAAGAGGGATGTCCTAAACAGCGGTACTACTGAAGCAAGAGAGGAATAGAAGATACAATATACACTCGTAGAGCCTGACCAAATGGCAATGAAGATGAAGAGAACATTCCATAAATACAAACCATCATATGCTCTACCACTACTAATCGTTTTTCCTGTTGCTAGTTCCTAAAACACAATGAGTAGGAAAAAATGGGCTAAAACAATTTAGGAAATTAGTAAGATTACTGACGAAAAGTAAATTGGTAGATAAATTTGGAGCATGAAGAACAAATGAAAAGAAAATATAGGGAAAGCACTGTACAAATCCTTTTATAGAAACAAAAGATAAAGAGTCATTAGCAACTCTTACCTTATCCTTTCTAGAACAAGGAAAGTAAGAATAGAACAAATAAAAAGAACCTGTCATATAGTCAGCAGCTCCAGAATCAATCATCCATGGAAAACAAGAGATACTGAGAGCACATGTTGAACTACCTATGTGAACAAAGGTAAAGGAAATTGGTGCAGAGGGAGAAGCTATGGTGAATGAAGTGTCAAGTCTAGCCATCAGACACCTTAAAAGTGTGTATCTCATCTTAGGAGCGAGCACCAGTATCCATAGAAAGGCTCGAGGATATCTTAGAAATATGAGCTTAAGATTGCCCAGTACCACCAGTGCCTCGGGTAGGACAACCATGCAACTTCTAACAATGCTCTCTAGTATGGAGTTCTTTCCCACATTAATCACATTTCAATAGATCACAATCACTAACTCTAGTCTTTACACTAGTCTTGGACTGACTGGCCTTACCATCCAGTGAAGTAGGAGTAACAGGTAAAGCAGAACAATTCTGACTAGGATCGACCAAAAATCTAAATTCGAATCTGATCATACTCTATTTTAAGGAGAATGAAGTGTCAAGTCTAGCCATCAGACACCTGAAAGCGTGTATCTCATCCTAGGAACAAGCACCAGTATCAATAGACGAGCTCGAGGAAATCTCAGAAATATGAGCCTAAGATTGCACAGTACCACCGCTACCTCGAGTAGGACAACCATACAACTTCTAACAATGCTCTCTAGTATGGAGTGCTTTCCTACAGTAATCACATTTCAATAGATCACAATCACCAACTCTAGTCTTTACACCAGTCTTGGACTGACTGACCTTACCATCCTTTGAAGTAGGAGTAGCAAGTAAAGCAGAACAATCCCGACTAGGATCGACCAAAAAACCTAAACTCGAATCTGATCATACTCTATGTTAAGGCTAGCAAGGAAATCATATACCCGTACTTTCTCCATCATTTGTTGAAAGGTAGTTGTATCTACAGTACAAACAACCTACAAACTTTGATAATAGTCAAGGTCTTGCCACAAACTTCTCAATTCAACATAATATTCAGCAAGAGATTTATATTTCTAATCTAACCCAAGAATCTTCTTTCTCACTTCACAGGCCTGTGCATCATTACCCTTTTATAAGTATGTTTGGGCAGTTGCAGACCAAATCTTTTGTGTCGTGTCCATCAAAAAGAAAGGGGCGACTAATAGATGGTTGCATTGAGTTAATTAGCAAAGTCATGACAAAAGCATTCTCTGATCGTCATTGTTCTTGTGTTGGTCCATCTGTCATAGGATCTTTGAGAGTTCTAGTGATATAACCAGTAAGGTTGCGTCCAGTAATAGCCAAAACTACAGGATCGTGACCAGATCAGATAGTTGGTACCATCCAATCTAACCGGACTAATCTGAAGGGATGGACTTTCTCCAAAAGTCCCAACACAACTCAACCCATTCGACTGACTGCCTCTGAATGTTTTATTATCGTCTCCCATGTCTTCTTGCACCCCCAAATATCAAGATTGGTTCAATCACCCACAAAGCCTAAGGAATCCATCCAAAGGACAAGTTACCCACACAATAAACTAAAAAATGGGACCAAATCAGATAAAAAAAAGGATAAAATGGCCAAAAAGTTGTTTTAGCAAAAAAAACACAAGAAAATCATCAGATCTGGCAAAAAAAAAATTGAAATGGATAAAACAACAATTAGGTAAGGGCAAGAAGGTAGTTTCAAACCCCAAGGGAGCTATGCCAGCCATCAGAATTGCATCAAACAAATCAGAATCAAGTATTTTGAAAAACGAGACAAAATTCCAAAAAAATAGAAAAAAGAAAAAATACATCGAATGAACTCCAAAAAAATATGAAAATTGTCTAGGAATAGACAAACCCTAGTCGTTCATGCTGGTATTTTTTATTTTTACTTTTATTTTTTAGGGTTCCACAAAAAATAGAAAAAAACTAGTAGACTTTCATCGTTTAAAAACAAGAAGTTGAAGAAAAAAAATCAACTTACGGATTGAGCTCTGATACGAAGTTCAATTGTGAAAGAGAGTAGAAGAAAGTAGAGAGAAAGAGAATATATTTATGAAAATAGTGAAACCTAATGAGAGAATTAGGTTTTTTCCCTTAACCTTGTGTTTATAATAATCAGACTCAAAGTACATAAATACCCCACATAGATATCTCTTAACACTAACCTTTGACAATACCTAAAGGTGTTGTCCTTGGACTTGAATTAGGGTCTCATGCCAGATAAACTACAAGAATAATGTTTGGAGCAAAAACTATTAATTATGCGCGTACCATTCTCAGTTACATATATTGGGGGATTGTTGTATCTCTGCGCAATGTAATTTAGAATTTTCCGAATTCCCCAAGGAACAATGAAAAGCCAAGGTGATGCTGCCTGCACATGTATAACGATTTTCAGCAAAGTGGGATCACTAAATAAATGTGTTCTCACACCATATGTATGTATGAAGAGAATGAATGCAATGACCAGTACCTTCTCCCCGATCACTTCCCCTCCTTCCCACTCAGCTGATGGCAAAATAAGACATAACAATAAGACATTGTATGAGAGTAAAATTGAAACATTTATAAAGTAACAATAACTTGAAAATAAGTCTTAAAGGTTTGAATAGTTACCAATTCTCTCAGCCTCTTGGACTCTATAAAAAGCATGGCCTATGCGATTTGCCGTTGCATGAGCAACAAACCTTGTTGTATAATGATTCAGCCCAACAAAGTCTATTGACATCCTAAGCAACTCTTTATCTTTTTGTGAGAAATCTGGAAGCCGATCTCCAAGTCTCTCTCGCATAGTGTCGGGATAGTCTCCAAAAAATATTGGATCCAAGTACCTAGATCAGGATTTTAATTGGTGAATAAAAGAAACAAAAGCCTATACACCTAAAATATCTTTGAGGACAATAATCCAAGGAATGTTTACTATATTCCTTTATCATCAATCTTCAACATCAATCCCTTCCAGCTCTGGATAAAACTACATATGAAATGTATTGTTTAAAACATTAAATTTTCGTTTCAGTTTATTGTTTCAGTCACCTAAAAAATGGAAACGTGTTGACCTGCATCGGAAACGTTTTGACCTATTTCGAAAATATAATGAAAAAAATAAAAACTTTAAAAATTATTTTTTCAAAACATTGGTCGAAATATATTAAAGTATCTTAAAATACCTTGAAACATTCTGAAATAATTGTACAAATGCATTAAAATATTACAAAATATTTCGAAACATTATGGAATATCTCAAAATATTAGAATTTTAATTTCATCACTTATTCGTTTCGGTCTCCTTGAAAACGGAAACGTTTCGAAACGAAATTTTGATCCTTGATTATGACAATCTTCTAGTATCTAATCCCCAAGTTCTTGCCTAATAACCTTTCATGTAGAATGATGCTGAGATATAAAAAAAATGATGTTGATTTTAAATGGCATAGTTAGCAGAAGCTTTTGTGTATAGTTAATGATGTTGAGCAAAAATAAGAGTTTATGCATATGTAGGAATGAGTACATGGTGCAACAAAAGCTTGTGCAAAGGTTTAAAGTGGTACATTTAACTTTCAAGAGGCGGAAGAAAATTATTTTCAAATTTTGTTGGCAATGGTTGGACTAACAATCAATCAACGAGTTGGAGCATACAAAATTGGAATGTAGATAGGTAGAACATGGTTGGAGTTTATGCTTTGACAAACAAAGTATATATAACTCCGCCAATGTACACTTGTGCTGTTGTGCACTGGCAGCCCCAAGACCAGATAAAAGAAGTGGATTGCGTTAGGTAGCTAAAAACCAGCTTAAAACTCATCAAATCAAATATGAACATAAATCTAAAAAATATTCGTGCAAAAACTAGGGCATTCCCTGAGAGATGTGTTGCACTTGCAACCGGATGTTTCGAAAAATGGGCGAGAGCGTGCATTTTAGTCGCCCGAATTTGGTGAAAATTTCACAATGGTTCATGCGCCACTATCGACAAGCATGGGTAAGGAACGTAATCAAGGATATTAAACTTAGATTAGCAATTTAGAATATAGGAGCAGTAAAAAACGACATGGTGCTAGTGGAAACTATGATTAGAAGAAAAGTTAATATAGCATTCCTACAAGAAACTAAGTGGGTAGGCTCTGAAGTGAGAGAAGTAAAAAATACAAGATATAAATCTATTATACAAAAAAAATAGACATAGAAATAGAATAGGAATAATAATAGATTCGCATCTTAAACAAAAAGTAGTAACAGTTCTTAGGAAAGTAGATAGAATAATATTAATTAAACTTGTAATAGACGGAAGTATAATTAATATTGTTAGCCCATGTACACCTCAAATAGGATTAGATGAATGCATTAAAGCTCAATTTTGGAAGGATATGGACAACCAATGATAGCAATACTATATGAAAAAGAGTATACATAGGAGGAGACTTTAATGGCCACATGGGAAAGGATCATGTTGGATATGAGAGGTTACATGGTGGACATAAATTTGAAAATAGGAATAATGCTAAAGATTATGTCTTAAATTTTGCTATGGCATATGATCTTATGATAGCAAATATGTATTTCAAAAGCAAAGATAAATATTTAATAACTTTTAAAATCCAATTAAATAAAAGTCAAACATATTTTTTCCTAACTATGCAAGGACTGTAAAGTCATTTCAAACGAGAGCTTAACCATACAACGTAGGATAATGGTGGTAGATAATGTATTAAAAACAATATAAGACATAAGAAAGAGATTACAAATCTAATAACTAGATGGTGGAATTTGAAAGGTGAAACGATAGATTTGTTTAAAAAAAAATATTAAAAGTAGTGTGGAATTTAGAAGATTAAACAAGAGAATACAATGGTAGAACATAATAAAAAGGAAGCTATTGAGGTTCTTAGAGAATTAAGAGGTAAATGTACCATTAGCAAAAGAAACTTGGTAGTGGAATGATGAGGTCCAAATTGTGGTAAAAGCAAAAAGAAGGTGCTACAAAACATGGCAAAAAACTAAAAACGAAGATGTTAAAAAAGAGGGTAAGAGATGCCAAGTATAAAGCATAATGATCTTTACTCTAAACTAGACACAAATAATGAAGAGAAAAGTATATATATAAACTTTCTAAATTAAGAGAAAACCAAAACTAGAGATGTTAAACATATTAAATGATTAAGAATGAAGGCTCTAGGAAGTGAAAATCATATAGGGAGCTTAGACATAGAAGACTAGAAATCATAGGAAGATTTAGAGAGAGCATAATTTCTCTTAGGATTAGGATGTCGGAGGTAAATGAGGCATTAAAAAAATGAAGACTATGAAAGCTTTAGGACTTGATGGTACACCTATTGAGGTTTGGGAAATGTCTAGGGGATGTTGGGGTATCATCTATGAAGCTGGGATACTTTGTTAAGATCGACGTATCCGTATTGGATATGATACTCGTCGGGTACGTATCAAATACACACCAAATATATCCAATAATAAATAAAATATATAAATACTTTGCATATGCTTTTTTATGCATAAAAGTATGTAACTTTTAGTTTTAAATCCTTTCAATTTTACATACAATGCAATACATCAATAAAAATTTTTATAACTTGAAAGACACATAGGTGTATTCTAAGTATTATTCATTATCACATGCCCAAAGAGTTTAAATGAATTGATTATTCATAATCTTAGCAACAAATACTTCTAAGCAAATAATATAATTAAATGTTGATTTTTATTTCTTTAATTAATCAAGTTCACTTTGTAGATATATCACTGAGAAATGATAGGTAACTTTTTGAAAATAAAAATTTGTTAAATGTTGTTTATTATTATGAAAGAATTTCTAAAAATTATAGCCATCAAGTTATTACATAATAGTAAAAATAAAAAATATATATATTTATAGATGTATCATGATCGTACTTGTATCCTATTTTTTGGTGTTTTACCATATTGCCGTATTCATATTGTATCGTACTCATATCTTGTATTTGTACTCGTGCTTCCTAGGCATCATAGTTAACTAAAGTATTGGATAAAATTATAATGATCAAGAAAATGTTCGACGAGAAAGAAGAATATTTTAGTACCTAGCTGTAAGAATAAACAAGACATACAAAGTTGCACAAGAAATCAAGGTATTAAACTAGGAAATCATACAATGAAACTTTGAGTGAGAGTGATCGTGCAAAGATTCAGGGTTAAAATAATGGTTTTTACGAATCAACTTGGATTTATGCCTACGGAAGATAAACAATAGAAGTCATATACTTACTTCGTAAACTAATAGAGGTATAGGAAAAAAAATAAAGATCTTCATATGGTTTTTATAAACTTAGAGACAACATATGACAAATTAAGAATATGGAGAGTTTTAGAGTAGAAAATTGTTACTATTAGATATACTGAAGTGATTCAGAATATGTATGAATATGTAGTGACTTCAGTGAGAACAATGGGATGAGAGGCTTATAAATTCTCAATTATTGAAGGCTTACATCGAGATTCTTCTTTTAGCCCATATCTTTTTGTGTTGATTATGGATAAATTGAGTAGGCACATTCAAAATGAACTCCCATGGTATATGTTATTTACGGACGGTATTGTACTAGTTGATAAAAATGAAGAAATAATTAATAATAAACTAAAAATATAGCAAGAAGCTCTAGAATCAAAAGGATTTAGGATAATTATGACTAAAACTGAATATATGGAATATAACTTTAATAAAAAGAGGAATCAAAACCGCGAAGTAATAAAAATTGAAGATTAAAAAATATCAAAGAGTGAACACTTTACATTTATGGTTATATTATTCATAGAGTGTGAGATTGATGACAATGTTATCCATAGAATTAATGCAGGATAGACTAAATGAAGGAATGCATCTGGAGTATTATGTGATAGCGCATATCACTTAAGCTAATAGGAAAATTCTATAGAACAATTAGATTATGATACCATTAGGGTTTTTGAATAGAGAGGAAGAGAGAAGGAGGAGAACATGAGAAGAGAGTCGTGTGTCTTAAAGTTACAATGTCACTTCCTGGATTTTCCAAAGCTAATTAAATGATTTGAGCAATAATTCATAAGTTTTACAGTTTAAGCAAGCCAATTATGGTTCAATTTAGTAAATTTATTTTTCTTTTCATTTAGAAAATTCGCATCACAGAGCTACTAAAGCAAACCCAAACATAATTGCATTCAATTGACACCCTTAGGTCTTAATATTACATAATGACACGTAGGTCACTATAGTAACAAAGCAAGTAGAAAATTCATAGCTGAAAACTTCCAACTTAAGTTCAAAATGCATAAACTTCCAAAACAAGGTACAAGCCAAAACAAGTCAAATATTCAAGACACCTCCAGGAAAGAAATCCCATCATCTCCAGACTTATTCCATACAAAATTGTTAAGAATGAGCCATGCCCAGTAAAAAGAATAACTACTAAGTTCTAAACCCCCATCCCACCAACTATGTGATTATTATGTGTGCCATTGTATGCAATAACATGTACAAATAACTATGAGGTAACAAATAGCATTGCATATATCATAGTACTACATTTGCTCCATACGACTCATAGATACCCAAATCACATGCATGACATCCACTATAAAATATTATTTCTCGTGGACTTTAATTTAGTTTCCTTATTTACCAGCGCCAGGTCGTTCATCTCAAGTAAACTTTATAAGCATAAGATACAAGCTACTAATTGAGTTCAATAATCATACCAACATAAAATTAAGTCATAACATGTAGGGCACATAATTTCACTAGTTATGATTCAATCATGTTGT